TGATCTGCACCAAATTGAACAAACCTGCTAAATTTGTTAGACAAGACTAATGGTTTCGAAGGAACCAATACCAGTGGCCTCAGCATTTCATATGGAAAAAGGATCGATTTTATTATCTGTGAATGAAATGGCACATATTTTCTTTTCACATGTAGTGAGTCAGGCAAGCATTCGTACTGATAATCATAGGTCAGAGGCTCGCCCTGTTTTATATCTCGCATGCAAATATCCAATCCTTGTTTCACCATCGATTATCCTGGCAAAGGAAAAATAAACAAAAAAAAGATGTGTGAGATTAAAACTTAATTTAATGCAAGTCTACTAATATGGATAGGTAGAGAACCATTTCTGCATCTCAGTATTGGGGCAGCAACTATGGTTTATATATCTGGATTTGTTCCCCTTTATGTGGCATCAATTACCATATCACGATTGATTTCACATAAGTAGAAATTGGTTTCTCCACGATGTTTCATCTTCCAAAGCCTCTCCTCGCATGTTTTGTCGTCAATAACTACAGTGAAAAAAGTCTAATAAAAAATTTACAAACTCCAAAATGTAAATATGAACTGCTTATTTTAGGGATAGGAACTACAATGGATGGGGCCAGAGTTACGTACCTTCCCCCACGTATTCTATTATAAACTCTCCATGCTTAATATCTTCATCTGCCACAATGCCTGCCCCACATTTCTCGGTCTACAAGTATTACCTCATTTAATTTCACATTTCAAAGTGTACAAACAAAACGTCAATTGAGAGTAACCAGTTTCCAGCAAAATGCACAAACCGTCTCGTAGAATACGGACACAAGATTCTTATTATTAACAGTGTCATGCCAACAAATCCATGTTATTATTCGGAAGAGATCAGCTCTTTCCCTATGCTTCTACAGATCCTCAAGGGCTTCAACACTTGCGATAAAGAATACTTATTCCATATTAGACATGGATAGAATCCCGGTCTGATGAAAACTTCAATAAAACACAGATAAAAACAAGATTAAGAAAAATTCAAACTATACCTGAATCAATTTCAAATTTTTGATAGGTCGGTTTTGGAATGGTTTATCGAGGCATGAACTCCCACAGCTGCAACCAAGAGCAACTAGACAGGAGCATCCTGCATGTAACAATAACATTACATACGCAACTCCATAGTACTAGTGCACAGTACGAAGATACGTCAACCAAATCGCATGTTATGCCTCAGCCCAAAAATATTCTATTTGGTTTGTGAAGGTAACATTGACATCAAGTTCTAAAACAATACTGATTTCAACAAAAACGGCTTGGAATTTTTTCTTTTTCTTGCCTGTTCATGATAATTCTCAATTCTCTGCTGACACAGTAGATTAGGCTGATGTCCACAACACCAAAAAGTCAAAAAAGGGTTATCTACATACTAAATATTTATGATCTATGTTACTCAAACTAGAGTGAATGCTGGATAATGGTAGTGTTTGACATAGGCACATTCAATTTGTTCCAAGTTTTTCCATGTGTTTGGAGGATCTTTAAAGGGTCACATGACTCACATCCCAAATTCATGTTCGTAATGTATCAAGCACAAGTGTTGGACATGGGTCCGAGTAAGGTAGTTTATAAGAACTGTATACTTTCAAAGTTCTAACCCTATCACGTGCATGCTATCACCAAAGAAACATCACTAAAAGGCAAACACCTATCTAGCTGCTGCAAAAAGTTCTAGCAACCTTGACCACAGACACCATAACAACCCTAGTTTATGCCAAGCTGATAAAACGTAAGCAGAGATTTCCCCGAACTTAACCCACTACAAATCCAAAAAGCCAAGTTAAATTAACCTCTCACATGGTATAATGTAAAAGAAAAGTATATAAGATAGAGCATCTTCTGAAAACAAATTTCGGGGTACAGTAGTCTTGCGCTGATATGGGGTTCTAATCCAATGATAAGTTGATAACATACCATTTGAGACTCAAGATGAAATTCACTTCAATAACTTTCTGATAAATCAAAGTAACACGCGAGCAAACCAAAAATATAAAATGTTAACACTTTCAAATCCAAAGACAGTCACTTATAACGTAGTTCAATCGTGAATTCTGATCAATTAAGACAAATCTTACCCACAGTGGCAATCTCCGCCACAAACAGCAGAACCGGAGGATGAAGTGCAAGAACAGAAGTTGCCATCATCATCCAGGCGCCTTTTAATCCTCTTTGTGAGATATATATCTTAAGTTGTTAAACCAACAAATCAGCAATCCATAGACATATAATCAAAGGAAAGTCAAGTCTCTTAGAAACAAAATGGAAAGCAAAAGATGAAGGTCATAGGCGTGAAAAGAGCCATTTTACGAGAAAAAAAGGATACTGCGCCTTATCAAGGTGTATGTAAGTTTCCACTTGTTAACCAATCTGGCAGTTCAAAATCAACTGGGTGTCCTATTTGCTTCAACAACTTATCAAACGCATAGCCAATGTGACTGCAATCAGAACTCTGGTAAACAAGGAAAATCCAATAAGAAAATTTACCACATCTTGAAAAAGGCCAAACTGCTTCAAATCCAACAGAACCACAATGTACTGACTACTGACTACTAAAAATTGTAAAAAAGAGAAAGAAAAACCCCGAGATAAACTGTAAGATGTAAAGCAACTTAAAAAAACATAAATATAAACGTTAGAGCAGAAAGAAGAGAAAATCTTGAATGTCAGAAATCTCAGACACCATAAGAAATTAAGAATCACATCCAATCTATTGCACTATAAGAAAACCGTGACTCTTACATATTCAACAAAATAATCATTTGTAAATGAAACAAAATTACTCAATGCAGATAAATTTCATAGCAAACACCTCAAAAATTCAAAACGAAAAAAGAGTAAATTTATATATATAAGTACTATAATGAATGAGACCCATGGCAAGCAGGAAAGACGTAAAGCAAACCTTCTTTGAAGCAGGCATGGTTTCTCAAGTATTTTAACCGCGAAGAATACCTGGTGATAATTGCCTACACAAACCAACATGGAAGAATCAGTACTCAATGGCGAAGTAGAAAAATTACAAATAGTATCTATGTGACTCAAAATCAATCATTACAGGTTCCGACAACAGAATTCGATTTTCCCTGCAAAAGAACCCATTTTTTTAGCTTAGATTTACACCCAATGGTGCTTTTTTAACATATAAATACCAAAACCCATGAGAAAAAAATGCAAGAGAGAGAGAGAGAGAACCCAGAAAATAGTGGAGATGGAACTAAAAATTGTAGGAGAAATTTGGAGAAGCTCAAATAGATATTTTATACTTGAAGCAGCCAAATTGGCTGAGAGAGAAGAAAGGGCAATGGGATGGAAATAACAAAATTGAGCGGTAGATCCGATAGCAGTGTTTTGGAGCAGACGTTTTATGGGTAAAGTTCAAACTATTTGGATTGTAACTAAAATTTTATTTTGATATTTTTTATAATATTTTTAAATGATAATTTCAAAAAAAAATTGGATTATTTAATTTTTGTTGGTAATTTCTCTTTGAATTGGTTCCTTTGGGATTTGACCTTCCTATGCTTTGTTACAAGAGTAAACTACACTAGTGATCCCTTTTATTTTTGGTCTTTCTTATTTAATTTTTTTAATTTTATGACATTGTGGACTTTATTACATAAATAAAGGAAAGAAATCTTGACACATAAGAACAATTTGAAACAGTGTCCAAACGAGGAGCAAGCTTTACTAGAGGAAGAGGAAGTGATTGTGACGTTCGAGAGAACTCTAACAGAGGAAGGCTTCCATGTACGATTCTCAAAGTCATTGCGACCCTCATATCTTATGGTAGAGAGAGCACTAACATAAGGTGTCACAACGAGTTAATTATCGTTATTCTTTTAATTTAGTTATATTTTTATTAAATTAAAATAAATTTAATCTCAATCGAACGTCACGTGTTACCATTCGATTAGAGGATTAACTTTATTTTAATTTAATACATTTATTTTACATCAAACCAAGTAAATTAAAATAAATATATAAAATTAAAATAAAGTTAGTCCTCCGACTGAATGGTAACACGTGACATCATTCGATTGAAAGATTAAATTTATTTTAATTTTTTAAAAGTTAGACTAAATTAAGAAAAAATATGTAAATAACATGAACCAAATGTGTGATTATGCCAAAATATCATTTCATCTAGTTAACGACAATTAACCCCTGACGACCACATCTTAACTAAATAAAACGAAAGTGACCATATATTATATTTTTTAAATCATCGAGGAAAGTGAATAAACAAAAATCTAAGTAACCAGTAGTTAACTAAAACCTTTTGGGTAAACTACGAATTTAGTCCTCCAACTATCACTTTAGTTTTGTTTTGATCACTTAACTATTATTTTTCAAAATCATCAATAGTGTTATATTTTGATTTCATTTTAATCACCCATCGTTAAAAAAATTAAGAGTAATACTGACGTGTCATCATAAGGTATTCATGTCATCATTGAAAAATGACACATTAGAAGTTATGTTAATTTTGTAATGATGAGCGACCGAAATGAAATCAGAACGTAATATTAGTGATGATTTTTAAAAAAATAGTTGGGTGATCAAACGGAACCAAAGTGATAGTTGGTAGACTAAATACGTAGTTCACCCTAACTTTTTTGTCATTTTAAGTGTTGGAACCAAAAAATAAGTGAAGCTATAGTATAGGGACTTGTACAATATTGGCTACCGTTATTTTTCATAACTGTATTGGTTTTTTCATATTATAACTGACATCGTTTTGTGGAGTGCAATGGTGCATGAATTCCGGCAGAACAAGGAATAGTTTAAGGAGAATCAAAGAATGTTGCATAGAATGACAAATTCCTTTTGCGATTTACTATTTTAATTTCCCTATCAAATTTTTCTTCAATAATTTTTTTTAAATTAAAATGAAACAATGAATAGAACAGTCGCAAATGGAATCAAAATAATGAATAAATAAATATATACATATAATTCGGAAGGATGTTGATAGCGTTTTTCGTTGGATTTGTAGCTGGGATTCTTGCAATCCTGGGTTTGGAACTGATAGTATTTTTGGCTGTGGTGGGTCTATTGAATCGCAAAATCCAACGAAGAATCAAACATGAAACCGATGCGGCGGCAGCAGCAGCTCGGAATCCCCAGCATTCCCTCGATTCCATTTGCCAAAACATGCAGGTAATATCGATTTTAGAGAACCCCAGCTTGTTATTTGTTGTTGTTGTTGTTACTGTTAGGATACTTTTTTTGGGATTTTGAATTCATTGTTATCATTGTCTTAGGGGGTTGTTTGGGTTCTTGATTCAGAAAAAATTTCATCCAAAGAGCAGAAGAGAAGAAAGGATGTAACGATAGAGGTCTCTCCTGTTCGAAAGCATGCCAAAATCCAGGATCAGTACCTGACTCTCACGAGTTCCGATTCGTCTTGCATATTTATTCCTCTCAAGGGCTGCATCATTCAGGCTGTTTCTGCTACTAACTTGCCCTCAGGAAATGGTATTGTGCCCCTCCCCCCTCCATCTCCATTCGTATTATAGAATCGATGTTTTGTTATTATATGTCGAAACAGCGATGACAGTGATAGTTTCCTCCATTTTTTTAAAATTTAAATGGTGTCATTGTCATTTGAGGATTATAGATGCCGTTGGTCACATACTTTCTTGTAATGTTTGTCTTCGTGTTGACTCTTCATCGGTAAGTATAGCATACTGATTATTTTTCCGAATCTTTATTACAAAAGTAGACGTGATCTTTGTACTCCTGCAATTGGAGGAAGAAGAAGAAGTTTGGTTCACCATTTCTATAGTCTGATTCTGATATGAATGTTCTTCAATGGTAGTATAGGATATCGAATACTTTTCTGACTCATTATTACAAAAATCGACATGGTCTTTGTACTCCTGCAATTGGGGTCCGAGTTGAATTTATGGCTAGTAAAGAATTCGTAATGAATTAAAAAGCCATTGTGTTCAAATTATTACATAAATTTACATGATGAATATAAAATAAACATGTTTATTTATATGTGATATTACATTATAAAGTTTTGTTTTAGACAATGTTATCTCATTTCATGTACCTGTATATAATTTTTTTGAATACTCTTAGCGCGCTCTGCAAGTCCAAATTTTAATCAAAAGCCAAGTCAGACATGTAGACACATGCCAATTTCCAAAATTGATATCCAAGACTATGTAACATAATTTGATATAAGCTCAATCATTTGTTCTAGTTATGTGCTTTCAAAACATTTGACTCTACTTCATTCCTTTGCTTCGAATTAATGGTCTAACAGGGCCAAGAGATATCCGTTAAAAGTCGAGAGCAAGAGTTCGCTATACAATGGAAGTAAAATCATTTACCTTTATCTGGAGACTGCCTGGGAAAAGGAGTCTTGGTGCAAAGGTCTTCGTCTTGCTTCATGTGAGGACAATTACAGATGGTTCATCAAGTTGAATGTAGACTTCCATGCTTACATGGCATTGCTAAGTGCTGGATATTCCTCATTTATGAAGCCCTCCTTAGGCTTCAGTGCTGAGCCAACGGAAAAGGGAAGCAAGTCCGATGGATCTATATCAAAAGTCAAATTATTTTGGAAAAGGTTGTCAAAAAAGAATTCAAAAGTTAGTGAGAAAAAGGGAAATTCAAGTAATCAATCTGCCCTTGAGGAGAAGAAGACTTGTGAGAAACAGCATCTATGCCAAGAATCAGTGTCAAACAGGTCGCTTAACACTTCAACTGAGGAAAATATGGCGTTTACATCGCCACAAAGTTTTCCTCGTTCAGCAAGTCAAAATGCTGCCTCTACTGCTGCTTCTGACTTTGAGTCTGAACATGAAAAGCTTAATTCTGATGAAGGAATACTTTGCTGGAACTTGATAATTTCTCGAGTCTTTTTTGACATCAAAGCCAATGCAGCATTGAAAAGTTCCATTCAAGCACGGATTCAGGTTAGAAAGTCACCAAATTAAGATGTTATTTTCTTTTTTCCCTTTTTGTCTCATGCATGGTATTGCCTCTTCATATTTCTTTTTTGTTTACCTATTGCATTTTCTGAGTAAGTCTACTCTGCCTGTTTGCCTCCACCCCATTCTTCATTTTGCTTTCTACTTTTTCTGTAGTTAGTTCTTCTGGAAAGTATTTCAATGTCCATTTGATGATTGTTCTGATGATTTGGTACAACAGAGAACATTGTCCAACATGAGGACCCCTAATTACATAGGTGAAGTCTTTTGTACTAACATAGACATTGGGAATCTCCCACCTTATATCCATGCGATGAGGCTTCTTGGCAATGACATGAATGAGGTATCGGTGTTCGAGGTTGATGCTGAGTATTGTGGTGGAGTTCTGATGGATGTTGAGACAAGAATTGAAGTTCGCGACCTAGATTTTCAGAAAGGCATAGAGAATACAAATTCTGAATCAAACTCTGTTGAGAATATGTCTTCAGACCTTCTTGAAGGCTTTGAACATTTCGGAAAGCATTTGAATCTTAATAAAGAGGATCTTGTCGACCCTAGAATTGGTTAGTATAATAAGATACCAAATTTTTATGCACTTTACAATAAACATGGCTCAAAAAGATATGCATTATGCATGCATACAGTTTGTTAATTCTTTAACTATGAAGTTGTCAAAATAGTGGATTTCCATTTATATTCAAAGCACTCGGACATGTTGAACTTAGAAAAATTCCAAGATTGAAGGCCTTGCTTACTCCAAATGTCTTTCCTGGAGTTGTCATGTCTTGCTATCTTTCCATTAATGATGTCCCTAGTATATGAGGTTTTATGAAGAGAAGCAGGTAGCATGACTATGTATATGAGATGCTTATTCTCTTGGTTTCTTGATATCTATTGTATAAGGTTTAGCCACATTAGCTAGCCTTGTGGTTTGCCCTGTCATCTGAGATCTAGTAAACCATGAAGGAATCATGCAAAGGGAATAGGCATGATTAATTGATTCGAGGAATTTTTCCTTGGATTACATGTTTCTCAATTCAAAGGTGAGACGAGGCTAGTATAGGACAGCTTTGGTAGGATTTGAGAGTACGGGGCATGTGTTTATAGTTGAATTATGCTCTGAAAATCTAAGAAAAAGGGGGAAAAAAAAAAAAAAAAGGGAAAAGCTTCAAAATAATCTATCTTCCTAAAGAAAGAGCACTATTTGAATAGCCTCCTATCAGCCAAATGATAAAAGAACTATAACTCTTATCCTTATTAGGTCTATGTTGAGGCCTGTAAATACAACTAACTGTATAAAACCCCATGCACATTACTCCCTAGATTCTTCTTTGCATTTCCATCATATATCATTTTCTGAAATCTGCTTTTATGCCTTCATTGTCGTTGTCTGAAATTATATTGAATCTTGTGATTTTGTTTGATTCCAAATATAGCACAAGGAGCAGTTATGGATGGTACTTTTAGTTCATTCACTATTCCCCGATCCGACATGGAAAGAAACTTAAAGAAATAAATAATGGGAGAAACATGAAGTGGTTCTTAGAGTAAACTGCAAACTATCTGTCTACTTGTTTGTATTTCAGCCAAGGAGAGAAACCAGAGAATTTTATATCCTTGTTTCGTCGAGGAACTTTAGGGATGTATTTATAAAATTATACTAAAATTCATTAGCTAGCTTCCTTTATCTTCCAATCTATTTACATTTTTTGATCTGTAATTACAGTAGTACGGAGAGGAATGCATGAATAATGTTTTTTGACCTCTTTCCGCTTCATTCTGCCCTTGAATTTTCCAAATTAATAACTTCAACATTTCACTTTGCTTCACTCTACTTTTCTTTTATTCAAAGGTGATGCAACTTTTACTTTGTAGGCATTTTTTTTTTCAGATGCACTCTTTTGTAGCTTAACCTGTTTATTCCAAGTATAAATTCTAAATCAATCCTCTACTTGTCTTTTTGATTTCTCTTAATTTGGTTAGGATGAATGTCCTATTTCATCTTTTGATTTCACTCTCTTCATGTTTCAGATTGTGGAAAAGGCTCTAAAGATAAATCGGGTTCTCGATTGAAGTCTGTCCTAAATAACATAGCCAAGCAGGTTTCACAGGTGTGTGAATCTCTTTATACATATAGGCGTTTCTCGTTAAATAAACTCATAAAAATGGAATTAAATGATCATCAACTCTATATCTTCCAATCAAAGTTCTTTCAACTCAAAAAAATATTTTACCCCAAGATACAGAGTAGTCTAGGAGCATGCAAGTTGAACTTCATAGCTATTCCCTGAAGTATCTCTTAAGTTGGCTGGTACCAGAATATCATGGAAAACTTTTAGTTACTTGTTATGAAGCACAGACTTAGTTATACTCTGCATATTTGTATCATATTTATGTTTGACATGGATATGGCCTACATGTCTGGATACATATTTTACACTACCCAATACGTTAAAAAAATTAAAAGTGAATTTGTTATTTTGGACATAATGTGGTTAAACGGTGAAGTCCGAAAAAAGTAAAGAGACGTGAAGAAAAGAGGGAGAAAAGTAAACAACTAGTTAATCTTTAGGCTAGACTGCTGTTCCATGCAGTTGAGACTCAAATTAGAGGTGAAATTTTGGTTAGAAGATTATGAGATCAATGGAATGGAGGGAGATGCAGCAGCTGCTAAAGAATATGGAGTTTAAGGAGGTTGATGTTGAAGAAGATGGTGTGAAGGAGAGGCTGGTTTTTAAATGTTGAAAAGGAATCGAATAGTCTCTCTGTCCATAAAGAGAAATACTTTATCCAACCACATCGCTTATAGGTCCCATCAATCAAGTAGTTCATGGCAGTTTCTTTTGTTTTCCATGTCATACTTGCATTTGGAAAAAAAGTCTCCAAATCACAGAGTTATTTTTCTCTCTTCGGGATCAGAACAGATGCTAACTCCAGAATGCAGCTAGCCACCCATTCCCTTCTCCGGTGAATATCGAGGATTGTTTAGGTCTTTGTTTGAATTGGTGCTTTGGATGTTTTGTGGAGTTTTTGCTATCTCTGTTGTTAATACTTGGAAAAATAGTGTAGACACATTTTTTTATTGCCTATTGTTCATGTAACTTCTGCATAATAGTTTTATTTTGGAAGCAGCATAAATTAATAAATGGAAAATGGAAAACTTTAAGGGTGTGGGTGAACCCTTAAAGTTCCTCATTCAAAGGAGTTCTTCTCTACCACCAGTCCCCAGATAAGATGGAATTAATGCAGTTAATTTCGGGAGAAAAATGGTTTATCTCTAAAATGATTGCATGAGAGAAACATAACCTGATGAGTTGAAGGCTTTTGTCCAAATTTAAGTATGAAATGGGGAATATGTTCACATTAAAAATTAGATCGATTGGATCCATAAGTGATGTGGTGAAAAAGTCTAAAATAACTTCCTGTACATAAAATTTGGCGCATGTGACAAGTTTTTTGGAACAGAGGAACTAATAGTTCAGTCTGACCGAGAAAAATCAGTAATAAAATTAGAGTCTGGAACTGTTATAATGTTGGATATATCAAACGCATTGCTGGATTTGGAGTACAAGTCAGCTGAAATTATTGCTCGAAGCAGTTACTGTATATGCTTTTGGATTAGCTTTTAGGTGGCATGATTAGTGATTAGTTCTAGCTGATTTTTTCAGAAACTGGCATTTATGAGCTGAATGATTTAAAAGGTCTAAGCAAATTTGAAGAAGCCTTGAGGAAATTAGATTATTGTCAATAGTAATCGAAGAGCAATAGCACTTTGTTGTGGAAGTTTGTAAGCTTCTGAATCTGACTAGTGAGGCTCTTAGCCTGCAGAAAATCATATAAAATAAGAGACACTGATAGCAATTTTAGCGAAATACTCGTATCATGTAGATCATAAAACAGGCGAAACATTTTCTGAAGCAACAATATGTTTAATTTTTCGCCATTGTTGAGGTCTGAGATTCTGCCTCTTGATCTCAGCCGGATGGTTCAGTTATTATTAATCTGGTGATTTGTCATGCCATTATGTTCTTTACAAAACTTATCTGGTTAATAACAACAATAAACTGCTTCTGTATGGACGGTTTCATTATGTTATAATGAATTGAGCATGCTATAAGTATGTCTGTTGTTGTAAAGATTTTAATTTTTATTGTGCTTAAACTAAATGATATTTCAAATTGGAGGTGCCTTTGACTTTATCAGTAAGGGTTGTATCCCTTCGAGGAACACTGCGTTTATATATAAGGCCACCTCCTTCTGATCAGTTATGGTTTGGCTTCACATCAATGCCCGATATAGAGTTCGATCTGGAGTCTTCGGTTGGGGATCACAAGATTACTAATGGACATATCGCGTTATTCTTGATCAATCGGTTTAAGGTACGAATTTGATCTGTTACGTAGTGACATGTTGCTCGAAGAGCATTCCATATTTATTCCTTAGTTTGCATACGGTATTGTTATTGATTGGTTTTGCATTTTGTCATGCCAAGCAAATTTACCCTTTAAATTACATGCATCGTCTGATATGACCATTCAAATAGTTATAGACCTTCTTGCTTTTTCTATCTTCGGCCTTGGGGTTCGAGCATTGCTGGCGAATAAGTGCCACAACTTTTATCTTTTGTCACATCACGAATTCCATTGTCGGATTCAGCATTGATCCAATGAAAGAAAATCGCGCGTGATTTGTGTAGGCAGCTATACGGGAAGCAATGGTGCTTCCAAATTGCGAGAGTGCATGCATTCCATGGATGTTAGCAGAAAAAGATGATTGGATCCCAAGGAATGATGCCCCATACATATGGCTTCAAGAAGGCTGTTCCGATAAGCGTGATGCTCCGGCTCCGCAGGTTACTGAATCAAAAGGCACGAAAATAGTGGGAGCGCCTCGAATAGTGATCTAGAAAGCAAGGATTTGATTCCGGAAGCAGCAAGGGTTCCAAGGCCAGACTATCGATAAGCTCAATGCCTGTGCTTTCTTCTTGTACAAGTTGCAGGTCACTGCGTGATCTAGGAACTCCCCATCCCACAACTGACCTACAAGATAGAATGCATCGGAATTCAGAGGAATCTTCGAGTTTGTCTTCGATATATTGTAGGTCTATGAGAGAGCTCGGAAGGCATAATGCAGGGTCGCCGACACAATGATTGGGGGCCGAGGACGGGGAGGAGGGCGAAGCTACGTGATTTCAAGAAGCGAATGGGGAGAAATTCGGAGAAAAGAAGCGTCACATGGAGGAGAAGGGGAGACATTTGGTTGAGAAGATGAAAAGTAAAGATAAAATAAATAAACTTGAGGTGGGTTGAACCAACTCAAACAGGCATTTTCAGCCATTGTTGAAGAGCTTAAACACTTAGGATGGATGACATGTGATATAAAGGATGTAATAAAAAAATATAGAAAAATAAATGTGTATAAAAAAATGGGTATATGGGAGTGTTTAAACACATGGGTGGAATTAAAATATTCCATTCATAGTGTTTCAAATACTAACCCAAATGTAAAGTTAAAACACATCTTTTGGATTAAAAGATTTAACACATTTTTCCCTATATATATATAATATATTTTGGAGTTTATTGTAATTTTGTTTTTCCTTGTAATGGAGTTTGATAAATTTAAAATTATTTCTTGTTGGACTACATAAAGAAAGAAAGAAAATATTTGTTGTCATCTTTTTTTACTATGCTAAGTTTTAGAATATGTACACATTCTAATTTGTTCAATTTTGAAGCTTTAATCTTCACCTAAATAATTCATGGACAATGTGATTAGAATACAGTACTTAAGATAATTAAATTGGTAATCAAAAATTAAATTTACAACTTAGGTGTAATACAAATGCTAATAGTTGGATTTAATTTAACACGCTTGATGAGTATTGTTTGAACTAGAATTAAAATTTTAAATAAAAAAGTAAGGACTAAAGATAACCTAATTAAACTAAATGGACTAAATCTATAATTTATGTACTGTACAGGGATTAAACTTACTTGCATCTCAAGTTACATAATACCATCGTAAATTTGATAACAAAGATCGTAGCATAACCTATTTAAACCTTAAGATTCATATTTAATTTAGATTATACATCATGTTCTTGTAGACACCCGTTTTTTGTCCGGGTTTTAAATAATAATAATATTTTTTTTATTATTATAATTATTAATACTATTATTATCAATTATTAACTTTTTTTTACATTTTTTTGCAGACCCAATTTTAGACCAAGCCCATCAACCCTAACTGACCCAAATTACAACACATCAAGCCCCACCCAGTTTAGCCCAACTGGAGCCAAGACCCAAGATTCGACCCGTCTCAGACCCAGCTGACCCAAACCCGCTAGGGTTTTTCCCACATTAACTGCCAGTCACCTAATCTTAGCCCTTGGATCTGGACACATCTAACGGTCCAGATCGCCCAAGGATTAGGGTTTTGTTTTAACCTTAGCATGATCTATCGTCGCAGCAACCACCAAAGAGTCACCAATCGGTGCCTGCACCCCACCGCTCGTCTCCTCGCAGCGTGCGTCGTCATTGATGAATCCCTCTACCACTTTCATCATCAACAGTGACATAAAATTGCAACAAATCAATCAAACAAATCAAAATAAAAATATACCCACTTTCAAGCAGCAATAAATCCCGAGAAAATCGGGGTGTCAATCAAACCAAATATAGGGTACTCATACCTTATTTTCTCGGAAGCAACACCAATCATTCATCAAAAGCCATCACATTCATCACATAAAAAGGAGGAAGAACCGAGAACGAGGGGATAACAAAAAAAAGGAGAAAGAAAACCTCGAAAAAAAAAAAAAATATATTCGAAAAACAAAAGAGAGAAGCCGAGAGACCTGAAACCCACAAAAACAACAAAAAAGGAAAAGCATTCAAAGAGAGGGGAGTCGAAAAGAGGTCCTTACCACATCCTTTGCTCGCCGAAAAGTTGAAGGGGTGACCGGATTTGTGTTTTTTTCAAGAGGTAAATCCTAGATCTATGATTCTAGGGTAGTTTTTAGTCTAAACGAGGTTGCTTTTTAGGTTCAGGAGAACAAATAGGAGGTTTTGGGAGGGGGTTTGTCTTCTCCGGCCACCAGTGAATGGTTGTCCCTTCCCTCCAAACGAAGGGAAGTTGAGAGAGTTCTTGGGAACTCTTTCTCTCTATGTTTCTAGAGCAACTGAGAAATGGTGAAGAGACGAGGGAAAGGGTTTAGAATCGAGTTTATATCCCCTGATCGAAATGACGTAGTTTCGTTCCTCCCCATTCCCGTGTTTTTGTAAATTTTGGGCTAATAGCACTTTAGGCCCTTCAACGTTTGTAATGCTCTGTTTTAGGTCATGAATGAAGTTTTTCATTATTCTCTTTCGATCACTTATATTTTAGCATTTACATTTTGGTCACTAATTTATATTTAGGCCATGTTTGTTATTTCCGAATTTGGTCCTAAGGTTTATGATTCTTTTGTTGTAGTCACTATTTAATAGGAATACATTTAGGTTTATTTATTATTGGCCCTTTTATTTTTCTGGCTTAATTTATTTCAATCTCTAACATCATTTATGGATTATTGTTGTTTCTGGTACCTATATTATTTAATGTATTCGATTGTGTTTCTGGTTTTTTTTATATTTACTGTTCAACCCTTTAAGTTTTTGTTAGTACCATTTTGGTCCCTGAAATCACCAATGTGCTTATTTTTATTGTTTGTATTTTGATTTGTAATGTTCACTTGTTTCTATTTTAATCCTTTATGTATGAATATATTTACATATATAGTTATGTGTATTATTTAAATAATGTTCTTAGCTCAATTTACTGTAAATATTTTATTCGTATATTTCCAATTACATTTATTTCCATTTTATTTTTTATCTATTGATGAGATATTCGAATATTTTCAAGAACACGTATTCGTAGAATGAGCGTGGAAATCATCACTTGGTCGAAGTGGTGCGATCTGATACGACATTTTAACTAAATGAGAACTTGAAATAAATCTAGTTTATTTTACTAATTATTTTTATTTAAATCATTCAATGCGTTTTTATATAGTAATTTATTTTATGCAAAGGTAGATAGTCAATTATATTCAATTCGTGCTTTTGTCAAGGAGGTAATATTCTTTTTTAGACAAAGAATACACGAGATAGTTTTCCCGATGGAAGATTGTTAATCTCGAGGTTTCTTTTCAAATTAAAGAATTATAATTCGAAATAAATTAATCAATGTTCAATGCATGGATCATAATTTAACTTTATATTCGATGTATAATTTCCACCAGTACGACAACGAGTAAGCGATTAAGTGCTGATTTTTTGGCGCTGTGAGGTGCGTATCCTTCCCCACGCGTAATCGACTCCCGGACTCATTAAATTGAATCTTTGATAATACAAACCAAATTTTGTCTATAAAATGATTTTCCTTAAAATTGTTTTAAAAGACGTTTTTAAGCATTATACCTACCGAATCCAAAGGTCGATGGCGACTACTATTCAAATTATTTCAAAATCTCAATTTTTCAAATAAAAATCATAATTATTTTTTAAAATAATATTTAATTATTTTTTAAAAGAATAGTTATGACAGTTCTATTTCAAATACTTTCCATATCGGAAGTCTTGAGGAGAGTATCGATCTATGTGTGAAGTATTGATACTGATTCAAGTCCATTAAGTGACGGAAGGAACGGCGTCGGTAAATAATAGAGACTTTCTTTCCCGATTAATTGTATTATGTGAATGTGTTAGGTGGTAAAACACATTTTTATCTCATTTTCTCCTCTCTTTAAGAGTCAACCCAGTTGTCGATAATGGTGACAAAAAAAATTAAATTTCACCAATCGACTCCTTTTTTTGCCTCCTGGGATTAATTTGCCAGAAAACTCTTCAAATGACATGATCTAGTTTGAAGAAGTTGAGAATTTTTGGGTCATTTAGGTTTGAGTTTGACTTTAATCAAATATGATTTTGAGCAACCCTTTTGCTTTGAAATAGACAAATAAAAAGGTAAAATTAAAGAAAAATACTAGTAATTTATCTCAACTCAAAAAATATTTAACCAATTATGTCAATACAAAACCTAGGTGAGAAATTTTCAGCAGCTGTCATAGAATTAAAGTAAGCACGCAGGGATGAAAGTGAACAGAAAAAAATACGAGGGATCAGATAAAAGATTACATCTTTTATCAAAATCAACATCAGTAAGCTTTTCACAGGTCATGTGCACCTATTTTGACAAAGGTATAATTTCCTACCCGATTCCTTATACCTTTGCTCTATTCATTTTCATCCCTACATGTGTTTTTTTTACTTTCGCATTTTCTTTCATTAAATCTCAAATTTTTGCAAAACTCCATGGTTTGTTAATTATTAGTAGGCACAAAGGCAGCCTTATTGAAAAGTAATGCAGCAAGAAGGATATGAATAAAGGCAATACCTAAGCCTGATAATCAATGCTATTCAAACTATCACTATCACTATCACTTCAAATACATATATAATCAACTATCCAATGCAAAATATTTCTTGATCTCGAAAAATTCCCCTCCCTCCTCCGATGCGACGGATATAATAGAAGAAGAAACACGGCTGAAGTCGGGGACATCCAAGGTATCTGTGTTGGCCATTCCGGATAAAAACCCGGTGATCCAATGAGGAAAAGCATATCACCTAAGAGGCTCCATATCCATCACGATGCGCCTTTTGCCATCTCCATGCGGTCTTCAAACTCTCCTTGAGATCAGTATGTTGAGCTGTCCAGTTCAGCTCACGGTAGATCTTAGTTGGGTCGCTGAATACTTCGGCGTAATCTCCAGGTCGGCGGGAAAGATAGTAGACTTTTATCTCTACCCCTGTTGCTTTCTTACAGGCCTCCACAAACTCCTTCACCGATCTACCTCTCCCGGTGCCAACGTTGTAGACTCCTACATTTTGGGGATTTGCCTTTTGAAGAGCTTTAACATGAGCATCGACCAAGTCGGTAATATCGATATAATCTCGTATGCAGGTGCCATCATGTGTATTATAATCTGTTCCCTTGACCTACACGAAAGCCCGAAAAGGTGATGCCGTGAACATGTGAATCGACAGGTGTGATGACAGTTTTATAATGGTTATAAGCATACAACAAACATGGAACAGCTCATACAGATCTGCCTGAAAAGCACAGTTTGACAAAAAGTTGACAGTTTATTTTATCATACATTAGATGACCTTTTTCACCCGAAAAAAGAAGTATCGTTGTCGAACATGTGAAACAACATATATTTGTTCATTCAGTCCAGATCTTTGAAATCTCTCAGGAGATGATAAATTAGCCTAATGAAATAAAAAGATGCTTGCAAAGGTGATCTCATATATATACACACGCACGCACGCACACACGTATCATGCACTTAAAGCATCGGCTTTTGCAAAATCATCATCT